GCGAGTGCACACGCCCTATAGCAAAAACCTCTCCAAAAAAAAAAAAGAAATAAAATATTTATTTAACTTTATTTATCATCATCATCATTGTTTTTAAAATTTGCTACAGGGCACATGTTATCACCAGAGAGAGAGTGAGAGCGAGAGCGAGAGAGAGCGAGCGAGCGAGCGTGAGAAAGCAAGTGACCAGGTCCAGGACTTGAACCATGGTCAGCCATGTGGGAGTCTTCTGTCCTAACCACCATGGCACCTGCTGTCCCCTGCCCAGAACTCCTTTTGGCTAAAGGGGCTATAATTTGTGTCCATCGTCTGTTTGTGATCTGTTAAATGGAGACACACAATTTCAAATGCTGAGACCCAGAGAGCCTATTTCAAGGAGCCCATCTATAGACATACTGGATGGGTAGGTGCAATTTTATGTTCAAGAAACTTCCTTGCAGCATTGTCTTAACGACATCATCAACAATGGAAGCTTGGGTTCACCCTGAGGGAACAGAAGCAGGGTGGTTTCCCAACCAGGGGGACACTATGGAGCAGGTAGCTTTCTATACGCTAACTTAGAGTGGGAAAAAAGTAAGTCTCGATACAAAATACAATATTATATATATTTTTTTAATTTTGCCAGAGGGCATGTGCGCTTGCCAGAAAGAAACAGAGAGAAAAAGAGAGAAAGCACCTCCCATGGGGACTGATCATGCCAATCTCTTCTCCATTTTGCCTCCCTGTTGGGATTTTGGGCACACACGCACACACGCCCAGTGTGATTTTCAAGCTGCTGGATCTAGGTCTGGACCTGCAAGGATGGCCGTGTGGGATCCAGCAACTTTAACCACCATGCCATGGGCCCTCTCTTCTACTTCTAAACATTTTATTCTATTTAAAGAAAATAACATTTCTATTTGTGATATGAATTATGTTTATGCTTTAAAAGTATTGAAAAAAATCTGGTTTTTTTTTTTTTTTTTTTTTCCTAGGAATGGCTCCATAGCATAGGGAGAGGGAACCAGATCCTGCCTGGCCAGCTATGGTTCTAATCCACGGTCCCAGAAGCTTGAACAACTGTGCATGTGTGCCTCAAATCCTGCCGGAGTGAAGAAATGGAGGAAAACTTGGTGTGACCGCGCCCACAGGGAGGTGCTTTCTCTCTCTTTCTCTCTCTCTCTGGCAAGCACATGTGCTCTCTAGTGGTTAGAAAAAGACATATGGAAGGCCCAGCGTCCGTGGCACCACGGGTAACATGATGAGCTGTAGCCCTAGTAGCCACAGGGTCGACCAGAGGGTCAGAACCCCGTGTGACCTGGAACATACAGGGTGCAAAGGTATTTACGAAAACAGAAAACGGAGGGAGACGGGGAGAGGCAGAGAGAGAGGCAGAGAGAGAGACAGAGAGATAGAGAGAAGAGAAGAAAAGAAACCTCTGGAAGATGTACATTAAACTACTAGCTGTGGCTACTCCTGGAGGTAAGATTTGAGTGAGGAGAAAGTTATTTCTTGTGATAAAAGAAGGCGAGAAGGGAGAAATAGAAGCATGAATGTAAACCCTTTGGATGGAAAAAAAAAAGAAGGCAGGCACATCAAGTCCGATATCCCTCTTCGTGCCCTCCATGCCCAGAGGGGCCCCTATCTTGAGCCCGTGTTAATAATTCCCTTCACTTCCTTACAGCTTTCTACTGACACACGCATCCTGATATATGGTATTGCTGGTCTGTCTGTTCTTGAACCTTAAATAAATGCATTCTAATTACGATTAATTCTGTGATAACAACCCCTGAACACTATGGTTTAGACACTCATCCACACCAATACATGAGACTGTGCTTTATATTTTTATCTTTTTTATCAGGCTAGCCTGTGGCCTGGGGTTAAGATGGCTGGATTCCACATGGCTGACAGCATGGTTCAAGGCCTGGATCTGGCAGCTTGAAAAACAAGGTGGGCACTGGTGGGTACATGCCCAAAAGCCCAAAAGGAGAGAGAACTAGGAGAGCAGGGATTTTAGCGTGGCTATACCCATGAGGGGGATGTTTTCTCACTTTCTCTGTCTCTCTGTCTCCCTCTGAGAGCACACATGCCTCCTGGCAAAAACCAAACCAAACCAAACAAACTCAAAACAAAAACAGTTTATTGATTTACCTGTTCCTTAAGTGACAAAGATGGGGGGAGTGGATCTTGACACTGAGGTCCACCCTCAGCTCAGCCAACCACTGACCGTGGGCAAGCATGCCCAGGGACCCAAGGAACTCTCTAGACTTGAACTGGGAACCTTCCCATGTGGGACTGCCTTGTAGAATGTCTTCCACGCTGTGCCACTATCTGGCCCTCACACTATACTTTACCGATGTTCCCTGCTGCATAGTATTCCATAGCACGAACAGACCAGAAATTGCTCGGCCTTCCCAATACTGGATTGTTTCTGATTTCATGCCATTATGAATAATTGTGATTTGAGTATTTCTGTGCATGTCTCTAGGGCCTATACCGAGGGGTGGGATTTCTAAGTGGTAGAGGTGTCTGTTCAACTTCATTAGGAAATGCTAAACAGTTTTTCAAACTTACCTTTCCAGTTTATTTTCCCGCTAGCATTAGATGAGGGTCTATTATGCTCCGACCTTATCGCTGGGGTATTATCTCATCTTCACATGTGTCCCAATATGGTGGGTATGAAGTGGAGCCTCTTTTTGCTTTAAATTAGCATTTCTTCCATTGTTAATGAGGCTGAGCATCTTTTTATATGTCTGTGAGTCATTCATGCCCTCTCCATCATTTTTATCTTTTCCCTTCTCTTACACACACACCCACACACATAATGGCAATACATGTAATATTATTTGTATTATAATGTGCATGTATATTCATATATGTTATTATAGAGAAAGCGAGAAAGGGCCAGATAGTAAATATCTTTGGCTCTGTGGGCTGTGTTATCTCTGCAAGAACTTCTCAACTTTACCATTGGCCGAAACAGCCATTGACACCATGTCAATGAGTGGGTCTGACTGTGTTCCAATAAAGCTTTATTTATGGGGAACCAGCAGTTAGCGTAATAGTTATGTCGCTGGACTCCCACGTAGTCGACCGCGGTTCGTGTCCTGGACCCGGTGGCTTAAAACTCACGCCGGGCACGTGTGCGTGCGTGCCCAAGATCCCGAGAGGAGAATGGAGGAGAAGGGATTGTGGCGTGACCATCCCCCCTGGGGGGTGATTTCTCGCTTTCTGTCTCTATGTCTCTCTCTGTCTGTCTGGCGAGCGCATGTGCCCTACAGTGAAAATCTCTCCAAAAAAAAAAAAAAAAAAGTTTTATTTATGAAAATAAATCATGGGCTAATGGGGC